CCGGGCAGGGGGAGGGGAATGTGAGAATGGCCTCAGATCCGGGAATTCTGCCAAACTCCTGGCTATTTGGGGCCAGTGAGGCCAACCCAAGGGCTCGCTGGAGTGAGGAGTGAAGGTCCCCAGCCCCTGCAGCAGCAGGCTCTGCACTCACCCAGCCGTAGCTTGCACCGAGGGGCTGCAGCCAGGGAGGCGTGCAGGGAGTACAGCTGGGAGACTGCAATGGGAGGGGAAAGGCAACGCCAGAGCTCCAGCTCATCACAGAAAAACAGGCTCGAGCTTCCCTGCCCCGCACTCCAGACCTGCTCGCTGTCTGATTCTGTTGCTGTGGCGTTCATAAAATCCCAGCATTTCAACGCAGCAAAGGGGAAACCTGGGACAGAACTGTGGCTTAATCAGGTGTTTGAAACTAAACCAGGGTCAGCGTTTCTGAAATCAGCCCAGTTACAGAATCACACAATCAGGTAGGTTGGAAAAGACCTCTAAGATCATCGAGTCCAACCTTTGCCCCATCTCCACCTTGTCAAATAGAGCTGAGGTGAGCCAGCCAAGCCGTTCCCCAGGGCTCAGCTGTCTCACCTGGCAGACTCAGCTTTGAAAATCTCCACCTCTGTTTGCAACATCTGCCCCTGTGCAGAGCCAGAGAGAGACCTGTGGAGTGCCAGGTGTGTTCACACTCAGCACTGGGGACCTGGACGCTCCGGGAAGGGCATGGCAGGCCGGCAAAGTCCAGTGGCACTGCAAGGCTGGGGAGCCACAGCCTGCAGGGAGCTGAGAGCAGGTGACTCAGCTGCTCCCACTGCAGAGTGACAGTGGTGCATCACACACAGAAATCACCACCTGTCCTTCAGCAAACAAATAAAAAACAACGGAGTTCTCCATTTATATTTATATTTTTAATTCCTGTACGAGCAGAATGTCCATTCCTTAAAAATAAGAACCAGACCAAAAATCCCAGCAGAAGCCAAACTTAGGCAATAAGCAGCAGCTCTTTGGAGACCTACCCACAACAAGGACCCACTCTTCCCCCATCACTTGCTCAGACATTTCTGTGCACACACAGCCAAAGGGAGAACAAAGGGAGCAGACCCAGCAATCAGCATCCTTGAGCAGCACAGACTGTCCTTGAAGGCTCCCAGCCTTGCTTGAGTTTCTAATGGCAACCACCAAAACTCTTCAGCTATGGCAGGCAGTGCCTCAATCCTTTTGTTGGGAGATGTTTGAAATCCTGCAAACTCTTTAAATGGCAACATCTTAGAAGTCCAGTCATCAGATAAAAAAATTTATATCTACATTTTCAGGGACTTTCCATTAACCGTTATCCTATAGAAAAGATATTGAATCTTGAATTACTGAGAGGAAATTCACTGTTAGAATTCCAAACATGTAAATGGAATCATAAAACTGAAAAAACAAAGAATATCACTAAACTGGAGAGGAAGGGGCAGACTTCTTGGCTTACACATTCTTTCTTACTCTTTTTCTTTTCATCCCCGTTTTACAGTAAAACAGCATCTTGTTTCAAATTTGATGGTCCCTGGGTACTAATAGGTTCTTTATTCCTGCAGTGCAATGTGATGTGGTTTTCCCCTAAAAGCTTTTAGTTAATGCTGCAATACTTTGTACTATTGCTGATTATTTTAACAACAGCAGAAACAATTCAGAGGAAAATAGAAGTAATTACAGAACCTGTCTTCTGCCTTCTTGGATTGATTTACAGTTAAACTTTGTCTGGGCAGTGTTCAGAGTAAAACCTCTCACAGCCTACACACCATTGTACAGAGAGACAAGGGGCAGAAGGTCGGGAGGCTCGACCCTTCCTGCATCCCATGGCTGGAGTGCTCTGGGATTGCCTGTGTTGCTGGAGTAACCATGTCCTCCTTGGGAAAATCCTGCTGCTCACGCTGGTAAGAGGCTCCAGTGCCCTGTTCATGTCCCTGGACAGGCAGTGCCAGCAGTGCCAGGAGGAGTCCAGCAGAGCCCAGCTCTGTCACACTGACACTGTCACACCAACACTGTCACACTGACACTCGGTCACACTGACACTGTCACACTGACACTCTGTCACATTGACATCTCATCTTTTCTTCACCGGTGCTGACCCCATCCCTGCTGTGCTTTTGGAGGGCTTTTGTGGGACAGTGAGAGCCTTATTCCCCCTGCCTGCTAATTCTGCTCTGCTCTGAGCACGGCTGGCTGCTCTTCAGCTGCCCAGAGCCAGGGAAGGAGACGTGTTTCAAACGAGTGCTACTTGTATTATTACCTCCTAGCTGCCAGTTAACACAGATGGGACATGCAGTGATTCCTGGGGGATTAACCAGCAGCTGGGCAGTTCCCTTGGAGCCATGTCACCCTCTCTTGGAGGCAGAGAGGGGCAGATGTTGGTGGAAATGCCCCTGAGGAGGCTGGAGGCAGTGGGGGATCGTGGGCCCCAACCAGCAGCCAGGGTCAGCAGCACAGCTCTGAAGCTGTGGGGGTGTTCATGGTTCGTTCAGGGCCTGGCTTTGGGAAGGGTTCCAAAGGGATGCAGCACTGCATGGGAATTCCCTCTGCTGCAGTGCCCACTGTACGAGTTCTGCTCCACACTCCTTACACCCCAGAACTGGCTGAGGGACAGAGGGTTGGGAAGCACTGACACAGCAAACCAAGTCAGTTTATTCAGACACTGAATTACAGGTGTGTCCCAACAGCTCCAGGTGTTTGCAGCACTGAAGAGCTCCAGCCCAGCACATGCCAGAGACAGCCCAGAGCTGGAGGGGAGGTCTGAAATGTTCTGAAGCTGGATGTACAAAGTATCCATGGACTCTTCTTCCTCTTCTCCAGTTTGGCAGAAAGCACAGCCCCAGCTGCAAGCCTTTACACACCTCCTGTAAGTTCCTGCAAAACATTTACATTTTTACATTGAGATCTTACATAAAAGTATATATTGAACCCTGTAGCCCTTCCAAAGTGATTCCAAAGTGCTGTTTAATCTGACTGTCACTTGTGGGCTTGTTATCAGGTTTGGGCACTGCTACACAAGTGCCTCGGTGATTTCACACTGTGACCTGGCTTTGTAGGATGGGTTAATTACTATGTTTACATTTCTTTCTTCTCTTAAATTATAGAGTTGATTTTACTTTTCTTATGATGGCAATTTTATTGTAAGGTTTTATTTCTCTTTTACTGTATATGAAACGGAACACCGAGGTGCAACCAAATTACTCTTGTAATTGCAGCACAGTGAATAAGTATGTGCAAGAGAATAATCTTGTAAAAGCTGATTACCTTGGTTATTAATAATTAGGATTTATGAGTTAAGTAATATGGAGCGGCTATATCCAATTCCTTGGCAATTTCATGTAGACAACTGAGAGACAAGTTTAGAAATAATCCAGTGTGAAATCCCAATTGACAACTGAACCAGCATCTTAGGGTCTGCCTGTGGCTTCTCCCTCTGCTTTGGCTGTTTGAAGCTGCAGTGGCAATTTGCAATTTTCTCTCATCTGTGGGACATAAAAATTTGCCCCAGGAGTCTCCAGCCCTCCACGTGCCAGGCACTTACCATACAACATCACTGCTGAGTCCAGGCTCTAATCAAAGCTTTTGGGATTGCTCTCTGGGTCAAGTTTCGGCAGAAATCAAGTTTGCATCTCGCAGGTGATGAAAGCCAAGGGCCCTGTCAGCGGGGGTGAGGTAACTTGCTCAGCCTAACAAAGCCTTCCCTGCTCCCCCCTGCAGAGCGTTTCCTGAGGGCCACTCACAGGTAAATGGCCTGAATGGTTCCCCCCCAGCTGCAGTGGCAGAGCTCTGGTGGAGGCCAGGACTCACACCGCAGGGATGTGCTGTGTCCTTCCGTGCCTCCTGGCCCAGCTCCAGACCTCTGTACTGCAGTCCCAGGCTGTGGAGCCAGAGCCTGGGCTCCAGCATCTCCAAATATTCCCGGTTTACTGTTCTGCCAGGGCAGAGGGGGTGTGTTCATCACACGGGAACAGAATCACGCCTAGATTTTGTTCTTTCATGCACTTGAGGGAAGCCTGACAAACAATTTGGCTTTGCAATGTAATACTAGGGAAGTATTTTAAATTTTATTTTATGTTCATGTCCAATGTGACACTTAGTGGAGCTAAATAATTATTCATGCTAAATGCTCCACATGCTCTGACAACATGGTTTTTAAAACACGGGGATTTTTTTTTTTCCCAATAGAAGCAGAGCAGATTTTAACTGCAAAGGAGCAGGCAGTGAAGCAAGGGCATGTTGTAATTATTACTGAATGTAATAGAACAGAAAAATGTCCGTGTCACTTCTGTCAGGGACTCTGCTGAGGCTGTCCCTTGTGGGGCACAGGGACCCTTGGCTGGGCTGCCAGATCATGTGTCCCATGATGGGAGAAGACAGGGCCTGTGCAGCTGCTGGCACAGGAATGCGAGCATGCTTTTGTTTTGCTTTGTAAGACCTAGTCTGTTCTCCTCTGACTGTGGTGACGTTATAACATGTATCAAAGCCACAGTTAAGTTTCACTATTTTTACAGACACAGTGTTTCGGGTTGATGTGTCAGAATTCCCAGCAGATTCCTGGTTCACGTCCTACTTGTTTACCACAAAGCTGCTCCTCTCCCAGCACTCCGGCACAGCGAGGCAGCCCGAGCCAGGCAGGTGCAACGTGTTCCTTAATGAGCGAGCAGGGGTGGGGGCAGAGGGGCCCGCGAGCCTGGGACGGTATGGTGCACAGCGAGCCGGGACACGGGGATGGCACCGCTGCACAGCGACCTGGGGCACGGGGATGGCACCGCTGCACAGCGAGCCGGGACACGGGGATGGCACCGCTGCACAGCGAGCTGGGACACGGGGATGGCACTGCTGCACAGCGACCTGGGGCACGGGGATGGCACCGCTGCACGGCGACCTGGGGCACGGGGATGGCACCGCTGCACAGCGAGCCGGGACACGGGGATGGCACTGCTGCACAGCGACCTGGGACACGGGGATGGCACTGCTGCACAGCGAGCTGGGACACGGGGATGGCACTGCTGCACAGCGACCTGGGACACGGGGATGGCACTGCTGCACGCGACCGCCGCCGTGGCCACGCGTCACGGGTAAATTCCAACCTTTTCCCCACGTGGAGGGTATGGCGGGTCCCGCAGCGGGACGGCCGGGGCTGTCGCTGCTGGGGACAGCGGGGCTGGAGCGGCGCTGCGCCCCAGCCAGCCCTGCCCGCGGCTTGGCCGCAACCCTGCGGTGACTCAGCCCGGCTCCGGGCCGGGCGGCACCGCGCTCACCCCGCGCCCTCGGGGCGGCACAGGCGGGACCCGCTCCTCCCGCTACCTGCGGGCAGGGGAGGGCCGGGCCCGCGGCCGCAGGGGCTGTGCCGGCGGCGGAAGCTCCGCCCGCCCCGGCCGAGCCGCAGGTGGGAGCGGCCCCGGGAGCGGCCCCGTGCGGGCGGTGCGAGCGGGGGCCGCTCTCCCGGCCCTCCCCCGCCCGGCCCGGCCCGGCCCGCGCTGGCCCCGCGCCCGCAGAGCGCTCCCCGCCCGCCTCCCTGGGCGAGCGGCGCCGGGCGGGCGGCGATGGACGGGCAGCGCCGGGCCGGCCCCGCCGCGCCGCGCTGGAGGAGGCGGGCGACCCCCCGGCCGCAGCCCCTCGCCTGGAGCAAGCCCCGGCCGCAGTCGTACCAGAGCCCCAGCGGGCTGCTCGTCACCGACTTCCCCGTGGAGGACAGGTGCGCCTTCCCCGTGACCCAGCCCGCCGGCACCGGCAGCCCCGGCATGGGATCCGTGTCCAACGGCACCGTGCGGCCGCCGCGCTCGCCCGGGCTGTCCCCTGAGCGCTCCCGGCTGCTCGCCCTGGCTCCGGACAGCCCCGTCGGTTCGACCGCCAACGGCACCGTGCCCGCCCCGGGAAGCGGGCAGGGCCGCCGGGCCCGGCCGCCCAGGACTGCGGGGCTGGCCCCGCACCAGGACCGCATCGTGTTCGCGGCCAGCGCCCAGCCCGCGCCGTGCGGCCGGGCCACCGAGCCCCCAGGGGTACCGGGAGGATCCCCCGGGATCGGCCGGGCCGCCGAGCCCCCAGGGGTACCGGGAGGATCCCCCGGGATCGGCCGGGCCGCCGAGCCCCCCGGGGTACCGGGAGGATCCCCCGGGATCGGCCGGGCCGCCGAGCCCCCGAGGGAATCCCCCGGGATCGGCCGGGCTGAGCCGCCGGAGGGATCCCCCGGGATCGGCCGGGCTGAGCCGCCGGAGGGATCCCCCGGGATCGGCCGGGCTGAGCCGCCGGAGGGATCCCCCGGGATCGGCCGGGCTGAGGTGCTGGGGGATCCCCCCGCGGAGCCCCCCGCGCTGCTGAGCACGCACAGCCCCGCGGCGCGCAAGGTGGGCTCGCAGCAGCTGATCCCGCTCAGCCTGGCCGAGAGCCGGCCCGCGGGCCGGGCCCAGGACCACGACCGGCTGCTGAAGGCTCGGAGCCTGGTGGAGACCCCCCGGCTGCCCCCGGGCAGCGACGCTGAGGAAGAGCCCGAGGGCGGCCCGGGCAGCCCGGGGACGCTGCGGCGAGGGCTCCGCTCCACGTCCTACCGCCGGGCCGTGGTGAGCGGCGTGGACCTGGACGGCTCCGCCAACTGCAAGAAGAAGAACAGAATGTCCCAGCCCATCCTGAAAGCCGTGGTCGAGGACAAAGAGAAGTTTTCGAGCCTGGGCAGGATAAAGGTGAGGTGCGCTGGGCGGTGATGCTGCGGCTCCGCAGGAGCGTGATTTGCTGACTGTACGTTTTTTTCAGTTTGCTTTTTGCTAACACAAAACTTCTCGTAGTTACTGCTGTTTAGTTAATGCTGTTTTCTAAGCGAGGTGTTGGGAGGGACACGATTCTGTTTGAATCCGAGCAGCTCAGCACTTTGCTCTGGCTCGCGTTTCCTGCTGGATTCCCCAGCTCACGGAGGGCTGCTCTCACAACCGAACTCATGGCTTAAAACCCGCTTCCCAGAAAGGAATAAACAGGAAAAAATGAGGCATTGTCCTAATAAACTCTGCCTGCTAGAGTAGAGACAGAAAAATTAACTTCCTCCTGCTCTCCCCTATCTGAGACATCACTTCTAAATTACTTGTAAAAGTCACTGTGTGGTTTTTAAATCGATAGAGACCACTTCCGTTATCCTTGCAATTTTAATGTTTGCAAGTAAAAGCAGAATGCCTGCTTTTAAATCTTGGTTGTATCCCTTGGGAGAAGTAGTATATTTGAATTGCATGTTAATGCATTAAAAGTAAGTTATAAAGACTTACTGAAAATACTCTTTTGCTTGAACATATAGTGTAACATTGTATTTCCTTATTTTTAAATAGAATTTGTTACTTTATGAAATACGTTCATAGAGATCTGTGGAGTGTTTGGAATTGTGTAATAAAGGATACCAGGCTAAGGGCTGATGCTCTAGCTATCAAAAGTGATTATTAGCTTTATGACAGTTTTCAGACAAACTCAAAATTACGGTAATTGAAGCTTTTGTGAAAATGCTACAAGTGGTGAAACAGGACTTGATCAAATTGTGAGCAACTGCAGAGTAGGAAGTGATTTGAACAGTAAGTTATGTTTAGAACAGGAGGATGTCACAGTGTCCTGTCCTGACACACAGAGCTCTCTGCCAGTAGTGTTTTATTAATCTCTTAGCCCATAGGACTTCTTGCACCAGAACAGCTGTTTTATTTCAGAGGTTTGTTTTGCTCTCAAAACCTTCGCTTACAAAGTACTTACAGTGGGTGTTGTTTGCAGAGTGTGGAAGGGCAGCCACTCAGTCCTGGGCCCTGTGGCCTCCTAGGAAAGCCCCGAGACAGTGGGATGAGGTGCAAATTCACTGAACCCCTCTCAAGCCAGTATTAATGTGCTTCTGAAACACAGGGAAAATGAAGCATTTGGGAAAAACACACATAAACAACACATGAGAGAAATGAAACTAGAGTAGCTTTTCACTTGCTGTGGTGAAAGAGTTGTTTTTGTTGAACTCCTGTCCAACATCCAGAGTTTACGGGTTAGGGCCTGTTGATTTGGTGCCTAAGTATTGAACAAAACAAGTTCTTGTTGCTGTGGTTCTTTTGCACTGTCTTTCTAACCCAGCTCTCTCTCATTTCTGTTAAAACTGCAGAAGATGCTGAAAGGCCAAGGGACATTCGATGGGGAAGGTAAGCCCTGTTCTGTACAGACTGGCTAATCACTCTGTCCCCAGGGAAATGAACTTCAGGGTCGGTTTTCACATTTCCTTCCTATGAAGTCAAAGACTAAGTACCTCGCTTTTCAATGAACCGACTGAATTATTGGCCCTAAACATACTTTAGGGATATTTTAAAGACTATAAAATGGCAGGCTAAAAATGGAGGTTTATGTGAGGGGTTTCTTTTCCACATGACCTCCTGTCCGTCCCAGAAGATGAGCTCTTGGATGTGTCTGTCTCAGTGCTGACAGTTCTGTACAGTTCCTTGGGGGGTGATGGCCCCTCCAGGTGGGACTGCCTTGGTGCCTGCTCCCTGGGGCTCTGCACAGGTGCAGGACATTGTGGATCACTGCCAGGTTTGGGGTCACCCCTGCAGCACACACCTGAGTCGTTATGCTCTGAGCTGCTGGGTCACACAGCTGTTTCTCTCCTTTCCTCAAGTGCTGAGGTGAATCCTTTGACTCTGTCATCCTTTTCCTTTTATGCTACCTTGGCTTCAAGTTTAAGTGCCAGAAAAACATTGTCCATGTATTAGCATTTTTGTGGTACTTATTAATTCTGGGCTTTGCCAAGTTTGCTGCTTTTCCCAATATTTCAACAAGAAAAAACATCTTTCCTAGCTATGAGCTATGGAAGTTTTATTGTAATAACTGCTACTCACTTGGCTTTTCTCTGCTTAATGCCTCCTTGAGCTCATCTCAGCTGCTGTGTTACCTTCCACTTTTCCCCTTTTAGGGCAAGATTGGATGTTATCCAAAGCTTGGCCCATCTAAAAGTACCTTCAGAGCCCGCTTGCTTAACGGCTTAATCCACCTGTGGGTCATTGTGGTGTTGGATTTCTCTGTCCTTTCTGTCTGCTGTTGCACAGGGTGTGTGAGCAGGGAGGTTGGGAACTGGAGAGGGTGTGCTCCACACCTGTGGTTCATTGCCACTGATAGTACTGGATTAATGAGGACAGAACTCAGTCTATTTTGTCTTAAGGTTCATAGGCCTTGTGCTTACTCAGGAAAGCTTTGAATTTTGTATTTGGAATAGTTCTGACCTTAATTCTGAAACTGGGATCATTTCCTTAGCTTAGGGAAATGCCAGGACATTACTTAAAGCTGACAGAGAGGTGGTCACAGGCAGTGGCCTTGTGGTGGTCCTGAAGATGAAATAGCTAGACCTCCAGATCAGTGACTGATCCACTGACCCACAGTCCTGTTTTCTAATTGCTGGCTAATTGTGAAATAGGGTACAGCAAACCAAGGAAGAAAAAATCGTTTTCTGTTTTTTTCTTGACAAAGGCCACATCTGTTCTTTAATGCTGTCCGTGAGGATCTTTGGGAGCGGTACAGTGACCCATTGTCACTGTACTGCACCATTGTCCAGCCCAAATCAGATGCTATCTTTGTCTGGTGGAGTGGGGAGGCCACAGTGACACTTTGCTTTCTTTCATTGTTTAATTGTTACTTATAATTCTTAAGAGAGCAACTAAACCAACTTTCTAGCGCTGACTGACACACTGCTGTTGTTTGACAGAAAATGCTGTGTTATATCAGAACTATAAGGAAAAAGCTCTGGACATAGATTCTGATGAGGAGTCTGAGCCCCGGGAGCAGAAAGCGGATGACAAGGTTGTTTTCCAGTACAAGCCCCTGAGGTCCACGTGGAGTCAGCTCTCTGTGGTGAGTGTGTGACCCTGGTATGGCCAGAGACAGAGCTCAGGGTGGGCTCAGGCAAAGGCTTCTTACTTGCTGCTGCAGTTTTTGGCTGGAGTTTTTCATCTTCCTTTTCATTTCATAAGAACAATATGGGAGTCCTGAGCAGCTGCTGGTCTTTGTCTCCCATAAAAAGCAGTGAAACCGAGAGGGTTCACTTTGGGGTCCTGTGTTTGGCCAAGACACAACTTCACTGATTGGTTAAAAACAAAGTGAGTTCACTGTAAGGGTGAATTAGACTGAAGTAAAGTTAGTTACAAACAAGCTGCTGCTGAATTGTTCTAAGTCACTCCACGCCAGCTCTTAAGTTGACTTGAGTGCAGATGTTTAATGGAAGCCATTCTGAAAGCAGAGTGTTGTGCTGGAGGTGCTCTGCTGTCCCAGCACAGGCTGGGAAGCATCTGCAGGGGCTTTGCCTTAGTGGCATTGTTAAACAAAGTAAATTTAGCTGCTTTAATCAGTACTGCAGTCTCGCTGCCTTCCCTGCTAAGAAGCTGACAAATTACTGATAACAGTTGATATTTTTACAGGGTTTTGCCCTACACATGATTTTGAGACTAAAGACATTGTAAAAATTCGGTGTTTCTGGGGTTCATTTTATCCTTTGATCGTTTCTGTGGCTTCTGGAGGGATATCCCCAAAATGAAGGCTTTGGGGTTGTTTTTTGGTTTTCGTTTATGCAACTTGTAGAATGTTGTGAATCCTCATCTCTGCCATGAGGGGGATGATGCCCTGACATGATCACCTGGAGTGTTGGGGTTGCTGGCTGTCCATGTCCTGTGCATATTCCAGTAAATGAGTGATCAAGCCTCAGGGAGATCCCCTCAGGGTCTTCAGATGGTCTGATTAGCAGAGCTGTCTTACAGATACTGGTGACCTTTTGCAGTGTAAGGGATTGAAACATGAATCCCCCTGATTCAGTGATTATAAGGAAGGCAAGACAATGTGGTTTTGAAAAGATTTGCTCTAAATTTTTTTTCAACAAATCAGATACTTTGAAATATAGTTCATTTGCTCAGTGTTTCAAGAAAATTTTGTGAAGAAAGAAAAGTCAAATTGTTTTTTCTGCCTTCTGGGCAAACTAGCAGTTAAGTGTTCACCCTCTGTATGTGGTTTACAAGGTTGGAAGTGGGAGCTCGAGGGAAAAGGTGGTGCAGGGAGAAAACAAGGTCTGGGAATCTCTCAGTGACCGTGGTTCTAACTCTGGAAAAGTTCCATGCTGTCAGTGGGTGTTAAAACGTGACAAAGTGAGTCTGGAGTTGTAGCAGGAAGTCAGCTGGAAAATGTCTGTCCTGGGTTTCAGCATGTGTTAGGGAAGGGGGAGAATAATGGTTCTGGTGTTTGCTAGCAGAGCCTGTGCTGGGAGGTGGAGGGGAGATGGCAGAGGGAACCCCTCTCTCTGCAGGAGGTTTCCTTGCCTGGGCTCTGTTGGAGGACTGGTGAACTTCAGGCATGGCATTGTCAAAATCTCTATGATAATAGCAATAAAAAGGGTGTTCCTGCCTTCCTGCAGTGTACACACACACACGTGGAACTGAGAGATCTTGGTTGTGGTAGTTTTAGAGAAGCCTTCCAGTGCATCCAGAAAAGGTGCTGCTGTACCTCCCAGTGCCATTGCACTTCCTCGGGAGTGCTCTGAGGCTTTCAGGTTGCTGATTGAAAGGGACTTCAATGGTTTAATAGAAAGGCATCTAATGAGTTCTTGCTCGGTGTCCAGAAGTGTCTACTTGTGGTGCCGTGGGGATCTGTGACTTGTGTTCCAAAGAAAACTGCTCCAGCACTGGAATGTTGATGTTATTTTCATAAGCACTCACCTGTGAGTCTCTGCTTTGGTGTGTGTGCAGAAAGTGTGGCACCTCTTACCCTGCTGCCTTCTTTATTCCTGAGCCTGCTGTCAGCTGTGCTGGGCAGCAATAAAATGAGGAATAATATATCCTGTAGCATTCCAGGGAACAGGTGGAGTAAGGAGAGAAAGCTGCTGCAGATGGAGCTTTGGGAGAAGACTGAGGGAAGTGGGAGGAGGGCAGTGTGTGTGAGATCTGTGGCCATGTCTCTGCTCCACAAAGGGTGTGTTCCTCGGGTGAAGTGCTGGGGCTCTTTGCCTTCCCTTCCCCTGTTGTCCCTCCTGATTTGGGCTCCTGGGTTTAACACTGTGGGAATTGCAGAAGCCAGGCCATCCTTGGGCTTCCCTTTCCGGGTCTTTGGACTTTTGGTTTTGGACATTCTCCTGTTAAAGGACACAATGTGTGTGTGCTTTGCCCCAGGAAGGAATAACCTTGGTGCCTGCCTTTGTGGCAGCGCTGCTGGGTTTGTGTCTGGGGAGAGTTTTTAATGACATGGTACAATTCTTTCCATAAGTCAAACACAGACATGCTTTTGATTTCTGCTGGTTCATTGCTGTCCCTGCAGTGGACAGATTGTTTAGCTGCAATGTTATGATAGTCCTGTATTATTTTTAAGATCACATTTCCCCCCGAGATTTTAAAAATATCGCTATATTTCCTTTGCAGGTGAAGAGGAATGGATTGTCAGAAGCCATCAGCCAGGAGGAGAGGAAGAGACAGGAGGTATCTCCCAGTACCCTGTGCTTGGGGCTGGTTGCTGAGGGCTGCTCTGTTGACAAGGAGAGTCATTGCTTGGCTCCCTGCCCTGGGGTGAAGTGTCCCCTGTCCCCAGGGAGAATAAATACACAAACCCTGTGTTGCTGAGGTGCTGTGTCCCTGCCAGGAGGTTCCTGGGCCCTCTCCCTGCAGCAGGGCCAGCCTGGCAGCAGCACAGTCACTGCTGTGCCAGGGAAGGTGTGACATTAACCCCGAGATCACACAGGGAGGAGGTGGCACAGGAATTTTTAAAGGCAATGAGGAACAAAGAGCAGCTTTTCCAAAGGCCCTGAGTTGTAACTAACCCTGTTGGACATGTGAGCACTGTGTCCCTGCTGTGACCTGTGTCCCTGTCCCTGACAGCAGTGGCTCTGCTGGCAGCTTGTCACCCAGGCATTCACCTATTCTCTCTGTCTCCTTCCCCTGTGCTCCTTTTGTCCTCTCCATCCACTTTCCTCTTCTCCTTTGCTCCCTGTGTCCACTTCATCTGCTTTCCCCTCCTTCCTCACCTACAGGGGCTATTTCAGAGGGGAGGAGAGGTGTTGAAAGCATAGCCTGGCCTAGCCAAGTGTATTCCTGCAGTTCCTGAGGTATGTCCATGGGCAGGGAAAAACAAGGCTCTTGGAGCAGAAACACTGTGGCATTGGTACCTGCCCTGGGAATTCATCCCCCTGTCTGCATTCCACTTCAGGACATGCCTCGGCCTCCTCCTGCTGGGAAGCTTTTGGGAAGCTTTGGAGACACAGGGCACTGATTTCAGTCCTGCCTTTTAAGAACCTTTAGTCTGGGTTTCCTGAAGCCATACTCACAGCCCAGTCATACTTGCATCTTTTCAAAGAGAACAAGTTCTTTGGATGCCTCTTAAATGTAAAGTCTTTAATGCTACCAAAAATGTTTTCAAACCCCTGAGGGTTTTTTATTTGAGTATTAGTGGCCAAGTCTTTCAGAGGGAGCTTCATATTCTTAAGCTGTAGTTGTATTACCAGGCTGTGCTTTTGCTGTATTTCTTTTAAACTGCCTTTTGTTAATTATTCTTTATATTGTCTTTAAACTGCTTTTAGAACCTATTAGATTATTTTATAATTGTACCATAATACATTATCACTGCAGAAAAATTTATTTATTTATTTTCTGCCTTGATTAATGTCCATGACTCATACACATCCCACTTTTCAGAACCCATCAGTGAGATGGGTCTGTGCATCTTTTGGCTAAAGAAAATATGTCATAGGTTGGAACTAAAATTATTTTCAGCAGATCTTCTTTCCTTGCACGCTGAAACTCTGTGTTTGTGTGTGTGTACAAAGTGCAGTGTGCCCCTGGCCTCTTGAGAGTGTTCCTGTCCATTGGGGTTGAACATCTGCTGACCTTGATATCGTGGCAATGAACCACAGTCTGGCTGCAAGTGCCATTCAGGAACTCAGCATTGCCTGGAACTGCCACCCAGCCCCTGGGTGTGCTGGGGTTCCTGTGTGTCACTCAGGATTGCTTCTTACGCCCTCTTGATTTTTTATGCTCCAGAATGTGTTTGGGTCATGGTGAGATGATGCTCTCTCCCTTCCTGACACTTTAGAAGCAAACTGTCTTTCTTTGTCCCATTTATTTAATTTATTGTTCCCAAACTGGGAAGAAGCCCATGGGGGACCTCGTGCCTCCAGCCTCACCCCTATGCTGTTGTGTTTGAGTATTTCTCCTTTGGTTTTAGAGGAGTTAGTAGCAGATAACTAATGAAATGAGGGATGCAAGTATCAACATTGGTTATATTGAGAACTGTCAAGTTGAGTTACCTGTGTAACTTCAGACAGCTGTAAATGTCTGAAAGGTCAATGGGTTTTTGTGTCAGAAATGAAAACTTCCAGTGGAACAAGTGCATGGATTTCACAGTCAGAGAGTCCATCCCCAGTTTGCTTTGTGTGCCAGCTGGTGGGAGGAGCAGTGGCCCCTCTGGGAGTGCAGGGTGATGGGTCAGAGGGGGCAGGGCCATGCTGGAGCTGTGCCTGTGCCATGCCTGGTCACTACCCAGCCAGGGGACAGTGACTGCCACCCCCTGTCCTGAGCCTGATCCTGGTGCTGGAGGGACCCAGGGTGTGGGTGCTGACCCAGCCCTGGCTCCAGGGCCCCTCCCCAGTCAGGAACTCAGCAGCTGCTGTTCAGAAAGAGCAAAGGCACCCAGGGCCGGGGCAGCAGTCGTGGGACTGAGGGGAACCTTCCAGACAGAGCACAGGAATGGACGTGTTTACAACCAAAACGGAACCCCAAGAAACAAACACCAAACACCCTCAAACCCACCTCTCAGGAGTAGGAATGGGCAATGGTCACACTTGGTCTTGAGTTGTCTTCAAACCCTCTTGCAGTTGCATTGAAAACTCTGAATATAGACTTCTTCAAAAAGTCCTTTTTTCTAGTGTTAAATCACTAGATTCTAAGTAAATGATGCAGCTATCATAGAAGGGAACATTTATTTCATAATCTGTAGTTTGCATGCAAAAACTTTGCTTTGCATCCCTCCTCAACATTGCTTTTTTCTTAAGAAAAGAAAGCCCCATCACCAGTAAGTCTTTTCTTTCTCCCCTCTACTTTGCAGGCAATATTTGAAGTGATCTCTTCTGAGCATTCTTACTTGCTGAGCTTGGAGATTCTGATCCGGATGTTTAAAAATTCCAGGGAACTGAGCCTCACAATGACCAAAACAGAGAGCCACCACCTCTTCTCCAACATCACCGATGTTTACGAGGCAAGCAAAAAGTAAGTGCAGCACTTCTGCATTTAAAAGAATTACACATCTCTAGCATCAAAGCAGGTTTCTTACTGGGAGCTGAAGTAACCATTTGACTGGTGACCATTTGTTCCAAGGCTTGTGAAGTCCAGCATGTGTCCTGGTGAAGGCAGTGAGTGCTCTCAGCTGTAGCTCTGGGCAGCTTTCCATGGACCTCTTTACCTGTGGAACACAGGAGTGTTGGCCTGCTTTCACAAAGGGGGCTCAGGGTTGAATAAGGAATCTGAATATTTTTACTTTGTGCCCCCTTCTTTTGTCTCCTGTGTAGAAATTGTCCTTCTTGTAGAAACTGTGATTTTGAAATCTGAATTCTTTAGCATTAAACCCTCACGTACCTTTGTGGAACCTGTGAAGTTTCATGTTCCCAGTTGTGGTAAAGTCCTTTATAGCATTTTCTCTGAAGGCCCATAAAGTCTGTGGGATTTGGCAGCAGTTTGGCTTTGTCTTCTGAAGTTTTTGGAGTACCAAGGTTTTGTGCTGTGGATGTAGCTGGGAGAGAGGCTGATGTGTTGTGCCAGGTGCAAACCCAGCTGAGGAGCTGCAGAACAGGCTTGGGACTTGGCTGGGGCACCTTCCCTGTGCCCGTTCCCTCTGCTCTCTCTCTTATGGTTGGGGTCTTGTGGCAGGAGCTGGGGGCTGTGGGACCCCACCTCGGGAGTGGGTTGTACCCCAGCAGGGGTGGCAGGGAATGCAGATCATCAAAGTCCGTGTTTTCAAGGAAAAGTACTTTTTAAAGGCTTCTCCTTACATGAAGTGTGTGCTGTAAAAGGAAAGTACGATGGGGGTGGGGAGAGCAATATTTTTAGGGGAACTCTTAAAACCCTTTTGATTAATGGTCTTCAAAGGAAGTGGGAGGGGGAGAAGCAAAAAAAAAATATGGAAAGCATGGAAAAATACCACACTAGCCTAGAATTATAATCTCATTCTTTCTTGTCTGTAAAGTCTGATGGTTTAAGAACTTGGCTTCTTTTATAACTTGGAGTAAAAACAGAAGTTGTAACTCCTTTTTACGCTTAAATGAAAACATATTTTCTTTGCTGAATTATACAATACTGTTAAACTGTAACAAAACTTTGTGCTGACTTTGACCAATGTCATTTGTGTAAATAATGGAAGGGATTTTAAACCAGAAGCCTCTTTTTTGATATCTTCAAACTATCTCTTTCCATTTTCAAGGTCCCTCAAGGTAACAAAATCTATCCTTTTTCTATAAAAATGAGCATCTCTGCCATTCTGCTGTATTTTAAACAGCCTGTGTTTAAAACCAGAAAACCTGAGTATGGATGTAGTTACCAGTGGCTTTGGTTGCACAGGCAAAGGTTTGGTGAGCTGATAAAAATACTTTATGAAAACCTTTAGTCAAAATTGCTTCAAGCTTCTATCTAGGAACTTTGGCTTGGAACACGTTTAATGGAGACTCTCCAGAAGCACCAGGATAGATAGGCCTGTGGTGCATGGCAGGGCCATTCCTGGGGGAACAAAGCTGCCTTTGTTGGGAGCAGAATGCAGACAGCAGAGTCCCTGCTCCTGGGAGCTCACTGGAATGTCTAACAAAGACAGTGGAGCTGAAGAATTTGGGCAGCACTCACTGGGTGTGTTTGTGGAAACCTCTGGGAAGGTGGCTTTGGAAAGCTTAAATCTTTCCTGGTGTCTTTGCCTGTGTGGGAGATGTGGGAGCTCAGGAGTGCTGGAACTGAACTCCCACAGGTGCAGGGGAGCTCTTGGGCTGGGCTGGGGGGTGCCCTGGGGCAGCTCAGTGAGGAATGGGCTGAGCACTGAGAAATCACTTGTCAGGATGTGGGGCAGGAGAGGTCACAGCTCCCCAGGAGCCTCTCTGGGCAAAGAGCAGTCCCAGGGAAATCAGGGAAATGTCTTGAGGAACGATTGGTCTGGCAGACCTAAGAGAAAGGAAAGCCTTAGCATTTGTGCCTCTCTGCCATCAGGACAGCAAAAGGCAAAATACTTCTGTGGCCTCAGATCTGCACTGGCAGAAAAAGACACTAACAAAAGGATCTGGAAAGGCTCTGTTTGTGAGCTCTGCCTTGATTTCTTTAGTGTGTGTTTGTGAGGGAGGTTTACAGCTTGTCTGAGTACCCTAATTCAATTTTAAATGTGTGAATATATGTTAGGAACCAGGTGAGCTTCCTCACAGCACTTCTTAGCACAAAATAGACCAACTGTGTTTATCTGGGTGTTCCTTTAGCAGTAAAGTGGGTGGAGGGTGAGCAGTTCCTGGGACTCCAGTCTCAGCTTTCCTTGGGCACAGCCTGATGCAGAGGAAGCAGCAGCTTCTCTTGGCTGTGTCTGAGCCAGGTCAGCCTGCTTTGAGATCTGCACAACGAAAGTGCAGCTTTGAGGAGGCACCGAGGTGGTGTAAGCCTGGATGTTTCTTTGAAACAACATAAGAGCAAGATGAGGGAAATCAGATTCTGTCCCGTGATGCTGTTTGACTTTCACTTAATTGGATGTAACTTCAACCAGAAAAGTTCTGCAATTAACAGAAACAGATTCTTTAAATAAATTCTTCTGGTATTCAGCAAAAAAAGCATCACACAGCACAGCTAATTCCTAGTTGGTTGAATTGAATTTAATCACTCCATCCCTCAGTCCTGAGATGTGAGAGAATACATCCTAAATTTATAAGTGAAAGGGTTTATGGTGTGTCTGATTCACTGATTGTATCTAGGAGTTAGCAGATTGGATGTGAAAAACCTCAACCTTTGATTCCAACTTCAGTGCATGATTTCCTTGTAGCACATGTTGGGGGGTGGACTTGAGGGTGCTGCTCCTCTCTGCCCCTCTATTCCCTTTTTCCTTTTTCTTTTACAAGTTTTGTGCCATCCCAGATTTTTACAAGCGTTACAGTGACTGTGTCTGATGTCATTGATGAAGCACCAGATAAATTCTAAAAGTGGAAGTTGTGGCCCAGCAGGGTCCAACACCTTGTCAGGGTGCCATAACCCAGCAGGAAACGCTGGATTTCCTCATTTCCTGAGCACAGTAAATTGGCAGCAGTGGGAGGTTCTCCCAGCTGTAAATATGTCTGAGCAGAGAGTGAGGAATCCCAGTTCCTGGTGGGCAGGGGTGGGAATCTGTTGTGGTTCGTGAGAAATTGCAGACTCTGACTTGGAGGCTCTCTTTTATTTCACTTTTTATTTGGTTTTTTACCTTCTTGGAGCCCAGTGACACTGGAGGCAGCTCTTGCCCTCAGTGTTTGTCCCTGGAGCTCTGGGAGCAGTGAGTGGGATGTGCCCCTTGGGGTGGTCCCGACACTCAGCCCAAATCCACAGCACAAGGCAGTGAGAATTTGAAATATGCTGTGCTTTGAGAGGGTGGTGGGGGCAGAGGGTGCTGAGGACTCTGCCTTTCAGAGGTGATAAGGCTGTTAAAAAGCACCCCTGAGAGGGGAAGAGAAGGGGGAAGCTGAGGGAAGGGGGGCTGCAGTAGGGGGGGTGGTGTCTCTTTGTTTTCCATTAAATGCCTACACAAACATCAACCAGTCCAGGAGCAGTTACTGTGTCCAAACTTAGCAAAACCAACCAAAATCCAAAATGGGACAAAAACCCCTGGATTGTTCTGACTCTGGGACTGACCCAGTGGGGGCCTGGCAGCCACTCAGTGCAGCAGCTGCCGCTGGAAAATGCCTTGACTGAGTTAACCCCTGTTCCTCCACGTGTGGGGGAGCAGCTGCTGTTTGTCCTGCTCTCCTCTCAGGTTTGAGGTGTGTTTGCAGACCAGACTGTGGAGAACATCAGTGGCACACTTGAAAAAAGGTGACAAATTTGAAGAGCCTCTCTTGGTGATGAGAAAATGGAGTAAATGGCTGAAATGAAATAAAACAGGTTTCAAAATATTTGAGTTTGATGTAGGATCACGTGTTCCAAGTATTTGCTTAATGTTTTCTGTGCTATATGAGAATTTTTAATGAGCTCGTTGACTCCAGGGAGCTGAGGATTCCTGCAGTGAATCCTGATGTTCAAAGGCCGTGGCCAGGGCTGCTGAGAGGTTGTCAGCAGCTTTGGGTGTGTGAGGATTGCACTGGTTGTGTTGTGGGGGGACTGTGGGGACCTGCAGAGCTGGTCTGTGTGAGCTCTTATCCCCAAACAGTGAGAGGTTTCTGGTGAGTGTCGTGAAAATCAGGGCTCATGCTGTGGGAAAGTTAGGAGTGCCAAAAGCAGTGGGAAGCTTCCAGAGGCCAGAGAGGCTTCCACGTGGGACAGCAAGCATGGTGAGGGGAGGAGCCCGCTGAGGATTTTGGGCTCTGTGTCCGTTTTCAGTGTTTGGTTCTGGGGTGGGTTGGGGGATGTGGAACGTGAGCACCGTGTCCCCCTCTGCCAGCCATGGCTTTGTCCTGGCTCAGCAGTCACACAGACCTTGGTCTCACTGAGCACTTCTGGTGTTGTGCTGCCTTTAATTGCAAGAGGAAATGTGTTAATGTGCGTTTGAAGTAGTTTCATTTGTTTTCCAACCCCATTTCTGGAAATTCTGGTCTGACAGCTCAGTTTGGGTTCTGGCACTGGGAGAGTGGGAAGGGCCTCTGCCAACGCTGCTGCTGAGCTGCCAGGGGACAGCAGCCCCTGGGTTTGTGTCCTGTCAGGACTTCCCCCGCTGCCCTGCCAAAGGAGGGACGATCTCACCCTGTCACCAGTTCCAGCTGTCATTCATTTGCAAAGTCCCGGGTTGTGGCAGGTGAAGTGGGAAATGCCGTGAGAGAGGGATGCCGTTTCCTTGTCAAAGTGAGCAGCCCTTTTCCTCCTCCCAGGTTCCTTGAAGAGCTGGAAGCGAGGCACCAGAACAACATCTTCATCGACGACATCAGCGACATCGTGGAGAAGCACGCGGCGTCCACGTTCGACCCCTACGTGAAGTACTGCACCAACGAGGTGTACCAGCAGCGCACGCTGCAGAGGCTGCTGTGAGCTCTGGGGGCTGCCAAACCACGCCGGGGAGGGAGGGGACGCTCTGGAGTTTGGTGCAGAGCCTGTGGCTCCCAGCCTGTGCTGACAGGCTGAGCTGTCCCTGCACGCTCCTCCAAGGGGATGGGCAGTGGGAGCTCTCTGGGCTGCACAGCCCGGCCCTGCCCGTGGTCACGGGGCAGTTCCCTCTCCTGCACGGGCTCAGTGTCCCAGGGGCTTCCCTGAGTCTGCCCTCGTGGCCAGGGATGGCAGCGCCTGAGTTTGATGGCAGTGCTGGGCTTAGGTGATCCAGCTCCTGCAAATCACACTTCCCTGCAATGAAACCAGGATTTCTGTGAGATCTAGCCACTTGCACAATTGTTTGGTAGAACACACCATTTAATCCTCTCCCTCTTTCCCCTTAGAGCCACGAATCCAGCGTTTAAGGAGGTGCTGTCCCGGATCGAGTCCCATGAGGATTGCAGGAATTTGCCCATGATCTCCTTCCTCATCCTTCCTATGCAGAGAGTCACTCGTCTCCCCTTACTGATGGATGTGAGAACAACTATTTCTCTATTTTTCCTTGACATGTTCCTTCAGTGTTAACGTGCTCTCCTACTCAATTCCTGGTTCATTCCAGTCTCTCTGTATCTTCTCCCTTATGCCAGTCCAGGGCTGCACGTCCTGTGGATTGTGGAGTCCTGCTGCACTTGTTTGCTGACTGTGGCTGGTCCCTCCTGCTCCTGACCCCCATTCACAAGTTAAAGATTTGGACATTCTAATAGGAAAATTGGACACTAAAGGTCACAATCATTTTGAAAGCAAGGAGGCTCCAGCACAGAAACTCTGTGTAGTGGAACTCCATTCCCAAAGGATGAGCTCCATTCCCGAGGGCAGGGCAGCTGTGTGTGGGTGGCACTGAGCTGTCCCTCCCTGTGCAGGGACTGTGGAGCCTGGGACTGTGATGGGAGCACCAGGGAGTGTTTGTACACAGTTCACACCAGGGCTCGTGGTGTGTCAGGTGAAGTGCCAGAACCAGAGGAGGAGCTGGACCACCCAGCTGTGGCCCAGGCTCAGAGTCCAGCTCTGGTAGGAGCCAGAGGCAGGACTGGTGATTTGGTTCTGTAGATTTGCAAATTGGGCACTGATTAATTTGATCACCTGGGCAGTTCATTTGTGGACTCTGAGTTCTCTGTGAGTTGCAATCTGTGCTGCTTGCTCCTCTGAAGTAACTCATGTTTTATTTCAGACCATTTGCCAGAAAACTCCCAAGGATTCAGCAAAATATGAGAACTGCAAGCAGGCTCTGAAAGAAGTCAGCAAGGTATGTTCTTAAGTGCTGAAATTTTTCTCTGCAGAATTTTTCCTGCTTTGACTGTTTTCCTTCCTGACTCTCCTGCTGGGGCTGGGCGTTACCGTGGCCCTTGAACATTCCTGTGCACTGTGAGGGAAAAGGGATGCTTTTCATGCAATAATAATGCAGGTGGGAGGAGCACTGAGGCATAAAAACTCCACACTGCTGTATTTAGGAAGGGCCCCTGGGGATGGGTTTTACACCAGAATTACTGGTTATTACTTGGGAAAAGAGCCCAAACTGGTGCCACTGGTGCTGCCAGGTCTGTGGGTGGGAGGTTGTGTCTGGCTGGGAGGAGGGGAGGGTGTGTTTGGAGCAGAGCACTGTGGCCCTGCTCAGCCAGAGCCTGGCCTGGACCTCTGTACCACTGCCCCCCTGAGAACAAACAGTTCCCACGTCCTGGGGGACTCGTGGGGTCAGGGGGTCTCGGGGTCAGCCCCTGGGGCTGTGGGGCAGGGTGGGTGGGGCCAGCCCTGGGCACCCCTGGACGCTCCCTGTGGGTGACCCAGGCTGCAGTGTCACTGCTGGGGGCTGTGCCTTTCCTGAAGGAGCAGCAGTGAGTGTTGCAGTCCCTGAGCCCAGCTGAGCCCCTGTCTCGTTGCAGCTGGTGCGGCTGTGCAACGAGGGCGCTCGGAAGATGGAGAGGACGGAGATGATGTACACCATCAACTCTCAGCTGGAGTTCAAAATCAAGGTATGGGCAGGAGGATATTTCAGTGGAACTCTTCCCACGTTGTCATATCCCACAGTGATTCTTGCAAAGAAACAATCTGATGTGTCAGGGCAAAAATTAAAATTTTGGTTAAGTAATTGTCATTTTAAGTAGAAGGTGACACTATAGCTCAAGGGAATTTGAATATGTACTGAAATAAGAGTATTGTTTGCTGTAAAGACTAAGCTGCTGTGAAGATTTTGGCTTTAGGAGGTGCTGCTCAGTGCTGAGGTGTTCTCATGGACCTGATGGGAAAGGTGGCCTGGGAAAAGGCTTCCAGGCCAGGAAAGGACCCTGGGGGTGTCCGTCCTTCCCCTGCAGGGTGGGACATCTCAGGTCCCACCTGAGATGTATTAAATTTTTTGTATTTAAAAAATCATCTCCAGTCAGTCTTTGTGATAGGAATAACCAGCAGACCCAGCTGGGGGTTTATTGGACTTTCAAGATCTTTCTTCAAGTACATTTATTGTTTTCTGTTCAATGTTTGCTGAAATCTCATTTCTGTCATGAGTGCCTGACACTGTTACACAATGAGGATTCCTCTGAGAGAAGATTGTTTCATTATCAGATATGTAGTGAGTGGAGGTTCATGGTTTTAAAAGTGTGGCTCCTGTGAGGGTCAGGCTTTGGGGAAAAGCTGTCTCCAAAAAGGGGTTTTTCAACTTGTCCAAAGGATTTTTATTCTCAAATTTTTGACTAAAAATTGAAACAGTACCAATATTAATGTAGAGCGACAGCAACAACAAATAAAACACTTCTGGCCAAGTGTCATTTGCTGACAGTGGTGATCCCAGACTCAGGTCTTTGGTGAGCCCAGCCCGGTGCTGGGGCTGAGCCCTGTCTGGTTCCATCAGTTCCCAGTCCCAGGAGCCCTTCGGGGGTCCCTGCCCTCCCTGGGGACGGGGCTCTGTCCATCCCTCCCTGGGGACGGGGCTCTGTCCATCCCTCCCTGGGGACGGGGCTCTGTCCCTGCCCTCCCTGGGGACGGGGCTCTGTCCATCCCCTCCCTGGGGACGGGGCTCTGTCCCTGCCCTCCCTGGGGACGGGGCTCTGTCCCTGCCCTCCCTGGGGGAGCAGCTCGAGCTGGTGCTGGGGCAGCAGCAGCAGCTCCCTGGGCTTTGTCCCTCTGTGCTTCTATGGGAGGTTTTTCCTTTGTGATCCCAGCTCCAGCCCGTGGTGGCTCAGGCCCTGTCTGGTGGGGGAGTTGCCAGCTGGCAGAGGAGGCCCCGCTTTGGGCAGGGCTCAAGGCATTTTTCAGTTCTGAGAGCCTGTTTTCTGTACTGGGAGATGGTGCACGTGATGTGCTCCTTTGGCAATTAAGGGAAAATTAAAGTAAAACCAAGCTGCCTCTGGAATAGAGTCAATTAGGAAAATGGGATGAACTCACTTGGAGCACAGATTAGAGGAATTTTTAGTTCATCCTCAAATAGAACTTTTTAAAGTATTTTTTACTTGTAAACCAATCATCATGGGGCTGTAATTCTGTTTTATAACCATTATAAATTAGTTAAAGTATTTCTGTTCTTGTCTAACCAAACACAGAGTGTTTGGAGATTTTTGTTTATTGTTTTGATAGATGTAACTGTGGAGAATTTTGTGGGAACACAAGAGAACCAACTCAGATCTTGTGTCACATCTCTAGAACTGAGTTTTTAATCAAGGCTCAGAAGTTCTTAAACGTTTCACCTTCAGCACCAGAGAAGTTGTGGGGGGTTATTTTTGGGAGTTACTGTTTTGTTCCTCCAAGAACAGGGTCGCAATGCCAGGGGTTGGGTCTGGCTCAGCCCCGTGAGCAGGTACAGACAGGGCTGACTCAGCAGACGGACTGATGGATACACCGAGCCAGCTCATGCACAGGGGGAAGGGGCTGACAGACTGCATGTGAAAGGTGCTTAAATGAGGGAAAGCAAGCAGTTGTGTTCATCAGTGTGGGCCCTCGCTGGGCTGTGTGTCAGAGTGCAGCCTCAGAGAGGGGCTGTGTGACCAGGACACGCAGTCTCACATCTCCCTTCCTGTTCATGCACAGAGAAACAAAAGGGCCTTCTGTGGGCTCTGTTTCTCCTGCACTTGGGAATAATTTGGATTAATAAATCCAGATCTTCACATCAGGCAGCTCAGCCCCTCTGTGGCTTTGCTGCAGATGTTGGTTCTTCCCCAGAGAGAAGATGTAGGATCCTTAATTATCCATATGAAACAAAGCCTACCAGTGGACAGGAGCTGAGGGGCTCCTGATGAGAGCAGCAGGTCCCTGGAAACACGTCAGAGGTGTGGTGTGGTAACGCCCTTGGGAGGAAGGAGGTTCTACCTGCACCTCTGGGGGGATGGTTTGTGCAAAGCTGGCTGAGTTTCCCGGGTGACACCGGCACAGGGAGTGTCTGCTGCGCTCCGGGAGAAGCTGGGAGGCACCGGGAGCACAGTCCGGTGTCCGCAGTGCCTCGGGAGCCATCGCGGCTCTGCAGACACATTCCTGGAGGACAGGCTCGGTTTTAATGCCCTCAGGAGGTCTCACAGTCTGTTCCACCCCAAGTGTGACCAGTCAGGTCTGTTCATTTTTACTTTTGGTGAGCAATGATCAGGTGCCTGAGTGATTCCCAGGTATTTGCAGCTGTTACCTGTGTGCTGTAGAGCGATGGAGGTCCCTTAAACCACAGTAACCCCTTTGTGATCTCTGAGCTTTGAGTTCATTCAAGCATCTTCCCCAAATACATCGTGCTCTGTTCTCTGACTTCTTTTTAAAATATCTCTGTATTTGAAGGACTAATATGTGATTTTCTTGCCCTGCAGCCCTTTCCACTGGTTTCCTCTTCACGGTGGTTGGTGAAAAGGGGTGAATTAACGGCGTATGTGGAAGACACCGGATTGTTTTCCAAAAGAACCTCCAAGCAGCAGGTCTACTTCTTCCTCTTCAACGATGTCCTCATCATCACCAAGAAGAAGAGGTAAGAGCTTCAGCAGTGTAAACCTGCCTTTGTGTTGAGCTCCCTGAATCCCAGCGTTGACTTCTGACACGGTGGTGGCTGGGCAATGAGTGCAGGAGTTATCTGAGTCTGTCCATCAGCCCCTGGGTACAAATGACGAGTAACTGCTCATTAAACAGGATTTACTTTTGGCAAACACAATTGAAATTCCAAACTGTCAAACCAGTTAAAAAATTCATTCTTGATGCCTTAGCCAAGGGAGAAGTTCGGGAAGGATAAAGGAGCAGGAATGTCCATTCCCCTGCATGCTTCCCACGCTTGGGTGGTTTTTGAGGATGGTGGATGTGGTACAACTTCCAGCAGTTGCCATTTACATTTTTATCACTAGATTTGAGGGGAGGTGTAGTAATTGAATTGAATGGAATTTAAATCCTCTGCTGATGTTGTTGAGTAACACTTCAGAGATAAACCTTATTCCTGAGGCTGGGAACTGTTCTGAAGAACTATTTTTGCATCTGGGTTGGCCGGTTCAGCCAAACCCTTCTGTGGGACTGCAAACCTGTAATTGAAATAAATGTTGAGGAATGGGGTATGATATAACACTTGGGAAGAAAATGGTAATATTTAAGCAAAGAGAAACCAAAACGAAGAGGGAGAATTATTGAAGTGGAGGTTTTTTGTAAAACTGGAAGAAATGTGCACCAATTGCTCTGAGCCCCCGATACCCTGAGCACAAAGCTCCCCCTGCCCAAGTGACAGAGCTTGTTAACAGAGTTTGGGCTCTGGTGATCTGTGCTCCCACCCACAGTGTTGCTGTGGCACCGCAGCACTGGACAGAAATGTTGGTTGCTAGTTGAGGTTAAATGTTTGTGTTTTTCCTTGAGCAGTTGCACTTCAGAGGATGCTTAACATTGCAGTAAGACATCACTTTGTGCTAAAAATAGAGCGCTGTGAGCGCTGCAGTCGCACAGTTTGGTCCTTGCCCAGAGCCAGCCCCGGCTCGGCCCATCCTCACACTCCATCCTGGGTCCTGTGCTGGTCCCTGCGGGGCAGCAGCAGCTGCTCTGTCACACTGGCCCTGTGAGGGAGGCAGGCAAAGGGCTGCTCCCTGCCCAGGAGGGGACATGGGAACTTGGGATGTGTCATTGTACACAAGGCTTTGGAGAGCAAGGAAAATCTGCTTCTCCCCACTGCCCAGCTTTTAGTTTATTGGGAATGTTTTGTCTGTCAGTTGTCCTTGTAGCTCCTCCCGTGTGTAGACACAATCTGACTCTTTTTCAAGGATCATTAAAAAAAAGATTTAATACTTGTAAGGGTTTAATGGGGTATCTTGGCAGGAGCAGTCAGTGCTGGCAGGCCAAAGGTCAGTGCTGCCTGGGAGTGTTACCTGCCAGAGGGTCAGTGCTGCCTGGGAGCGTTACCTGCAATCCTATGGTTTGTCTAAGCATAAGCAAAGGCAGCACAAGGCACTGTGTGGGCACCAGAGGCACAGGGGGCAAAGGGTGAGGGCTGCCCTGCCCTGTCTGATCCCACTGGTTTGTGGGATGGAGGTGAGGAGTAGGAGGGATTTGTTAGGGTTTCTCTCTGTAAGAAATGCAGTTATGATTAGCCATGCACATGTGCAGACTAGCTGATAATTAGCAAGGAATGCATTTATTATTCATTACTCAAGTGTATGGACACATTTCTTTCTCAGGTGGAAGGCTTCCAGGTAATGATTGCAGCATTCCCAGTTCTGTCCTTGGCTAAGCAGGAGTTGTCCAGACTAAAATACTGAACTGGCTTCTTTAAAAACACCCAAACAAAACCCACCCACCCCAGCCCCCCTTTCCCTGGTTCAGAGCATCAGGGCAGGACAGGTTCCATTAGGGGCATGTTCTGTGTCCATCGTGCACAAAGCTGTTCTGCAAAAAACCAGAGCATTTTGGTATTTAATTTGCAGAAGAGTGAAAACCCCCCAGAGCCCAAGAAAGAGCTTGGTTTTCACATCAAACACAGTGGCAGGAGCTGTTACCCCACCTGTGGAGGTGTGGGAAGAACCGTGCCGGGCTCTGGAGTTAAATGTGGGTTCTGTGGCGGTGTTTGCATCCAGGCCTCCTGGAAAAAGGCCAGGCATTAACCTGGGGTGTCTTTCTCGCCCTCTGTGCTGCAGCGAGGAGAGTTACAACGTCACCGAGTACTCCCTGCGGGACCAGCTGGTGGTGCTGCCCTGCGAGGAGGAGCCGGGCTGGGGCTCCTCGCCCGCCAGGAACGCGGCCACGATGCTCCACTCGGCTCGGGGCTCCGCCGGCCACCTCTTCAGGCTGCTGGTGCTCAGCAACCACGCGGGGGACAGGGTGGAGATGCTGCTGGGAGCAGAGACGCAGTGAGTGGAGGCTGCACTGACTGGGGCGCTGTCCCGGCTGGCGCTCGGTTCCCCAGCGGGCTCAGAGCTGTCCCTGGGGCTGTGCGGGCACAGGGCAGACTCAGGAGCGTCCCAAGGCCAGGAGGGCACTGAGCCTGCTCCCTGGCACTGAGCTGTGCCTCTGCACGGGGCAGCAGTGCCATGGTGGTGGGATGGCCTGCTCCTTGTTCCCCTGGGCAGGGTCCTGTTGGTGGGTGCCCAGCGTGGCTCTGAGGGCCAGTGACTTCCACACGACCTCCCCAGCACTGAAAGAGTCTGTCTGTTCGGGGCAAGCTGGAGGAGGGACAGACACATGAAAGGGAGAGCTCCAGACATATCCCTGCCTGGAAAAATTGATAGTTTTAGGTTTGCTTTCAAAGTTTAGAATAACCCTGAAAGAAACTAAAGATCATCAATGCTTTCTATTGAAGAACTCATTATGAAGGCAGCAGATGATTCAGACTTGTTTGGAAATGCGATTTTATTGGGGAAAAAATGCAGGACATTTTTAGTTGTCTGGGCTTTGAATGAAAAGACATTTTGTTCTGCAGATTTATTACTGATTTGTTCTGTACTGTTTGCAGTATAAATAGTAGATCGTCACTCAGAGGAAGAGGCTCAAAAGAATTCCTGTATTTGAAAATTACCTATTTTTGTAGTCTTATACTTTGAGAAGGATGGGAAGGGAATCTCCAGGGCCCAGCTGGGTGGGTCAGAGTGCCTATGGAACAGGATTTTGTGCAGGTAAAACTGAAATGTTTTCTCTGACACAGAGACTTCCAGCACAGCTCGTTCAGTTCTGTCACACCATGTGGTGTGTGGCTCCTGAGGACAAAAGCAGCAGGGTTAGGTTAGCCCTTTGCATGGCCCTGTCAGTGAGGCACAGAGCACACACAGGTGCTGAGGAGGTGTGTGCTGACCCTGGAGGCAGGAGGGGGTCTCAGTGCTGACATTCTCAGCACCATGGTCTGGGACACTGGGCTCTGTTTGCTGCCCTGCAGGAGCGACAGAGCGCGGTGGATCACGGCGCTGGGACAGGACAGCGACGGGCCCCACACCGACAGGACCAGTGAGTGACCCCTCGTGGGACTGGGGGAGCTGGGGGGGCGTGGCGGAAGGGGACTCTGAAGGGGGGACTTGAAAAAGAAGTGGTCTGTGTGCTTTAATGAGGTGCTCTGGGGCTGGATTAACTGAGCCTGGCTCCTTCCTCCCCAGCCCTGGCCCAGGTGGAGATCATCAGGACATACACAGCCAAGCAGGCCGATGAGCTGTCCCTCCAAGTGGCTGACGTCGTTCTGGTTTATCAAAAAGTGAATGATGGTGAGTGAGGGTTTGGCTGTGGGTAATAACCACCTCTGCAGGGGGATCCAGCAGCGAAAAATTGGTTCCTAAAGCACGGGCCTACACTGAGTAAAGGTTCAGCTTCCAAGAAAAGCCTGAACATCTGGGTTGAGGTTTCTAAAGGACAGGCTCTGTTGGGCAGCAGATGAGCAGAGTAAAACCAGCTGCAGAAAGCGTGTGCTGCCTGGTTTTGACATGTCCACAGATGAGAAACAGCAATTATCTAAAAATAAGGAGCTCAGACACTCCCGTGAGTGCCAGGGTTGTCCACGAGAAGCATCCCCAGTCTGAGCAATGCCATGGCCACGGCTCTGGCTCAGGGGGTTTGCTGAGGTTTCCCACAGGATCAAGCCCCCAGCATCAAAACTGGTTCTTGCGTGGACATGCCCGTGACTCCACTGACAGCACCGTGTGCTGGCACAGGGAGGCAGGACACTGCCAGCATTGGAGGGATAAATCCCAGCTTGATGTTACTCAGTGGCATATATGAAATCTAAGATGCTGTCACTTGTGCTGCATTGCTCTCTTTAGATTGCAGTGATATTATAGTCATTATTGCAAACTATATTTTAATTACAATATAAAAAAATAGTGAAAATGTGTAATACATTTTACATAGAATTTCTTCCCTAATCTGCCCATATAAAAATCTACCTGTATAAAATCTAATCTGGTCCTTTACTCAGTGCCAAGGCAGGTGTGTAATGTGTGTGATACCTGTGCCCTGGCCTGCAGGCTGGTACGAGGGGGAGCGGCTGCGGGACGGCCAGCGGGGCTGGTTCCCCTCGGAGTGTGCCAAGGAGATCACCTGCCGGGCCACCCTGGACAAGAACATGGAGCGCATGGGGCGCCTGCTGGGGCTGGAAACCAACGTGTAGCGTTCCTGTGCCACACCACGCTCTGCACCGGCTGCTGGGACTCCCTGTGGGACGGGGGCACCAGAGCCCACCCCCACTTCACCAGAGCACTGACGTTTGGATACTCGAGTCTGTCCCGCTTTGCCTTCCAAGAGCTCCCAACTGAAGCCTGGCTCGACAGGAGCAGACTGCAGCTCACAGCACTGTCCTGGCTCAGCTCAGCATCCCTCTGACTCGTGTTCCAGTGCTGACTTCAGTCGCTCTGTCCCTGCCTCCTGTTCACGCTGTTTTTGAGCATCTTGCCTCGCCTTCCCCAGAACTGCACGGGACAGGGGACAGCACACACTGACCCCAGCGTGGAGCTGAACAGAATGCTGGGGTGTCCCACAGAGCTGCAGTGGGACAGTCCCAGTACCAGCCAGGGTGTTCATGGGATACTTCCCACTTGTGACAGAACCTGTGTGACCTGGACTAGAATAACCAGCTCTGCACTTCAGGAAGGCCGATCTACCTCTCCAGTGCAAATCCAGGGACAGCCCCGGCCTTGGCACAAGCAAAGCTGGGCAGAAGCTCCAGGAAGAATCCAGAGCTGTGCCTCCAGCTGAGGTGGGCTCTGACAAACACTGTGAGGCAGCTCAGACTGTCTCCTTTCAGTTCTGCAGTGGTGAAAGGAATTCTGCAAGCAAAACCAAGGTACCACACTCTGCACAGTAGATGGTGCTTGGCCCAGGTATTTTAGCAGGGAGTAACTGCTGGAACAGGGGCTGATTTGTTTCTGGTTTGCTCAGGTGTTTAACGAGCTCTGTGGTTCAGTTACTGTTTCAGAGCAGGGGTTTGATGGGCTGCAGGAACATGAAGTACTTTGTTCTGGGGCTGGGGGGTTCTGCTCTGCAGTACTAGAGATCAGTTCTTTCCCTGTTCTGCTGAACTCGTTGTGATGTGGGATGGGCAGCAGAGGGACAATGAGGAGCTGCAGTTTCTGGAGGGGCTGGGTCTCCTCTGTTGTGTCAGGGGTGTGGGCAGCAGCAGGGAGGGGCTGTGCTTGCACTGACCCTGCCAGCCCCCACAGCCCTGCTGTGTCTGTGCAGCGAGGGCAGGGACCGACACAAACCCTCACCTCCTGCCCAGCTGCTGCCTCAGCAGCCAAATAAACACTGCTCACTACACACGAGGGGACAACTTGGAGAACCAAGGCTTGCTTCTTGTTGCCTCCCTGCCTCTGAACAGGCCTGGAGGTTGTTTTATAGTCTGTAATATGCTGATTTCATGGGTGAGTGAATTGGGTGTTTGTAAAGATGTCTGTCTCTAACAATTTAAACTGTATTAGGAAGGCAATAATTTTGTACAAAAGTACTTACCTGGACGGTCTGACAGTGATTATACAGCCTTGTAAATTAATTTAAAAGAGGACTGTAAATTGAACAAAGACTTATTTAACATAGTTAAAAGACTGCTACTGTTTTAACAAATTTATTGTATACAGGCAGATGTTTAACACATAACTGAATGTATAAATCCAGGCATTAATTTTATTCAGATTTTTTAATACCTTGTATATATTTTTCATACCTAGTTTTTCCAAAAATGCTGTAATGTGTTTTAAAGACATTTTTCATTTTTTTCTATTGTTGGACACAGTTCTTCAGGAATTAAAGACTTCTATGATTTTATAGGACAACAATCAATAAAATGCTTTTAAATCCTTACTAATAAAAAGCTTTGAATTTTTTTTAATGGCATTTCTTAAAATGCCCGTTGTTAATGTCATTCTGGTCAAAGAAATTAAACCTCTTTGGGAAGCTGTGGCATTTTAAATGTTCCTGTTCTGTGAACATAAATAGCACCATCCTCTGTCCTACTTCATCTGCCACAGATCCAATTTACCTGTCTGGCCTTGAAGCGATGGCGTAGAACACAGGCCTGGGAGAACATCTGATGGCTGAGACTACTGGGAAGCAGGAGATGGACAAACAGCCTTCAGTTACCTCTGCTTTCTGTAACTTGGCCCCAGGTCAGGGGAAGGGACCTACACCACTCACCGTGTCCACCCCTGCTGTTATTGAGGGCAGTGGCATTAATTGCACTGCACACCTTACTGACAGAGGAGGGTGACTGCTCCACCACTGCTGCCTTGGACTTGCACTCTGAATCCCAGCAGAGCTCAGAGAGCTTCAAAATTTAAGGCATAACAAGCAATTTACCTAAATGTTTGTATACACAAGTTTTCAAAACCTCAGGGGTTTGGGGTTGGGTTTTTTCTCCCTTATAGCAACTGCATGAGATTTTCATTAGCAAAAAATAAATCATTCAGAGCAAGTCGGGTCTCAAAGATGAGCACTTCTAATTGCAATGAGAGTGATCTAAAAAACTCAGCACTTGCCCACCCTGTGCACTCTGCCCGTGCACACACCCACAGGCTCTCCTGCCCAAGGAGGTGGACATGGCACCAGCATCTCCTTTTTAGTTAGGAAAGGACTTGACACCAGCATCTCTTTTTTAATTAAGCACCCGGCAGTGACAGAATAGAGGTGGGAGTTTGTCAGTGTAAAATTAACTCTCATTTTTGGAAGGCCTGGAATGTGCACCCCTTCCTTCTGACTTCTAGAGCCAGGTTTTAAGCAAATAAAAATGCTTAAAAAATAAAATGCCCTCAGTTCCCTGAATCAAAGGTGAGGTGCCCACGTGGGTCTGTGAGCTCCTGAGGGGCACCCAGCACCTGCTCAGAAATCCAGTGCCCACGGACTCCAGCCTGTCTCAGCACCTCCCACTTGTGACACAGGGGAACAGTTATTAATACTTTCTTTTCTGCCTCCTTGTATCAGCCCTACAACATCATAAATCAGACATTTTTATCCAATGAACTTTTAAGACATGCTGTGATGCAGTGCTGCTCTTGACTGCCGTGGCAAGGAGTACATTTGTTCCCATTATGCAAAGCTAATTTGCTGAAAATAAAAAGGTAAAAATAGCACACTTTAGTCAACCTACACACCCTGACAGAGCGCAGCCTGTGCTCAGCATCACTCACAAGCACGTCCCTTACACTCTGGACCTGCAGATTATATTCACAAAGTTGTTTTTTTCCACCGTGTATTCTGTTCCTAAAGTAACACAGGGAAAAGAAGTGAACAGAACACAAGTATTGGAAATAAATCTAGAACAAATTTTGACACCAAGATGGAAGAAATCCAAGGATTTATCTGCTGTAGTCTGCAAATGATTTTATCAAAACTTCACCCCTGGAATAATGGTATTTACATCACAAATCCAAACACAGCACCAGACACACTAGTGAGGAAAACTATCCCAGCACAAACCAGCTCACCTGGCATTTGGAACAGGCTCAAACTCCGAAGAACAGAGGCTTCTGGTACCTTTCCACTTATAAAAGTATGTTAAGCTACATTTCAAGCCTAGTGAGAAGGCACAGCCAGTGCCGTTATTTAGACATGAGTCACTTTCTAAGGACAGATCCAACATCCCGGCCTGTGACCCCTCAGTGTTCCCTCAGGGTGGCCCTGGGCCTGCCTGGTCCTGATCATTCCAAACAGTCACCTTCCTTCAACCAACACTGCCCTTCTCACCCAGGCTCTGCTTTTGCTACCATTTCCTTTTGCTCTTTGTGTTATTAATTAAAAACTTAGCCATCATTTATGTACCACAAAAACCACAGCCAAGGAGAATAAAGCAGGTACCACGTGCCAGCCTGTACTTTCATGACATTTAATCCAGCACTGCCAGTAACAGCACTACCACCACTCCTCCACCAATAAATCCAGTCTGCAATGGGACCAGCCCCCTCTGCTGTGCTGCAGCTCCTGCCCACCCTCACCCCCCACTCTGGGCACCCCGGCACACCCGACCCCGCTGCGCTGCCCTCAGCGCCGCCGCCATTTTGTGCCCTCCTCCTTCCCCGCGCCGCCATCTTGTCCCTCCTCCCCGGCACGACGGGCCTTGTCCCCAGCACCGAAATCGCACACTGGAATGTACTTCACTCCCTTTCCCACACAATTATCAGTAATTTAACCCCTATTTCCCCCCGCTTTGATCCCGGGGCTCACCTCGTTCCTCCGAGCGGCCTGTCTGCCACACCATCCTCACCAGCCCGGCTCTTCCACAGCTCTCCCTCACTCCCTGCAGCCACCGGTGCTGCTTCTCCCTCCCAACTCCCCCCTGCCCCAGAACCCCTAGGGCAGGATGTTCTTCCCCCTCCTTCGTTATCTAAAACACCTGGGGATAAAACCGTTGGCAGTGGGAGGTTAAATTATATATTGTTTTCAGCTGTGGGGGGAAGCAATGAGCCTGACATCCCCCATCCCTTGTTAACCCAATGGAAAGCACCTTCTAGTCACTAAGTTCGACTTATTTCTGTTAAAAAAAAAAAAAAAAAAATGTTCACCTGATCTGTGTTTTCTTCAGGATAAAGCCCATAAATCCTCCCAAGCTTGATGATCCAAAGTCATTTTTGCACAGAAAAAAAGCCCAAAACCCCAAAGAAGAGAGAAGAGTTATATTTCCAGGCAAATAAAAGGAGACACAAGAGCTTCGTTTCTTCAGGATAAACCTCAGAATCCTAAACAAGCTTTGTTATTCAAATGTTCTTCCATAGCTGGAAATCATTCAAAACAGAATGACATTCAGAACATTGAGAACAGATGAAATAGCACTTTAAAGAAAAAACTTTTAATGTAATAATATAACCCATACATGGACTTTAAAAAAAGAACAAAAAATTTGAATGCAACGAACCTTAAAATATATTCCACCATGCCTTTTATCTAACCATACTTCCTGTAAGCTGCAATTTCTGTCACTAGTGATGTTGGATGGGGACAGAAAGTGAATAAAGATTAATTGAATGGGATGAAAGGCAGAAGAAGAGAATATTTCTGAAGATTGTTTCCTCCCACAGTACAAATTTAACAAGTGTTTTCAATGTTAGATTAATTAAGCTGTAATTACCTTCTGTGGAAGTGCTGGTGAGCAGACTGCTGCACAGCTGGAATAACACAGCCAGTGTAATTGCTCACCACCCCCAATTAAAAAAAAAAAGTCCTGGATGTTTCTCCTGGTAGCAAGAGCAGTTTGGGTATTACTAAGCAGTATTTTAGCAGGCTTTTCAAATATCTCTTACCTGGTGGGTAAAACCCCAACAAAAACAGCTACAGCAGGACAAGAACCATACATGACCCAACACTGCCCTTCTGTCCCTTGAGGAGCTACACTGGACACAGAACACATGCACATACAGACACTGCCCCGGAGGGAATAACTGCCCTGGGGGACAGCAGTGCCAGCTTACCCTAGAGGAGTTTAGCCTGCTAAGGGCCCGCTCTGCCCCGTGCTGTGTGAGCACCGCGGGGTCAGCTGCAGCGCTCGCCCTGGAAGCGCGGGGCGTAGTTGCGCAGCCCCTCGTTCTCCTGCGTGGTGATCAAGTCTATGATCGCCGTCAGCACCGCCGTGTCCCTGCACGTCCTGTCCTCCCAGTCCACGGGGTGAGGCTTCTCTATTTTTTCTTGGAGAAGATCGTCAAGTTCTTGTCTTAAATTCTGGAAAGCGTTTGTTGCGGAAGGGAAAAAAAGGAGAGGGACAGGCAATTAACACAGCATTGCCACAGGAGTTCCAGTCCCTCAGTTCCCCTGCCCTTCACACCCGCTGTTCTCACACCCATTCATTTCCACGTTGCTCCTGCTGGGATCAAACACTGTCTCTCACAAACCTGCAGCACTACCTTTGATGGCAGATGCCCATCTCAGCCCCCACATCCATTAGCTGACTATTTCAGGATTAAAAATAGCCAGTTTAAAAACAATAAAATAAAATTTAAAAAAAAGTCAGGTATGATTTCTGGTATCTAATATTAAACAGCTCTATTAGAACTTATTCCTGATAGCTGAAGAGCCCCATCTTCATGTTGCCATATCCATGTGGACATGTCATGGAATGACCAAGTCATCCTCCAGCTTCTGCTGTGGAAAAGTTATCTGTTTTCTTTGTGTAGTTGCATTGCTCGCTGGGAATGCATTTCAACCATTATCTCCCTGACTGACGAATCCATAGGCACGGTGATATCAAATCCAGAATTCCCAGGGATCAGTGTTACTGAACCTCCCATGTACATTATTATTATTAAACATATTCACCTTCACCAAGTGTGCTATCCTTGCTGGAGACTGGAAAACAATCCACTCATCCACAGCGATGGTGTCCTGGTCCTTATCCTTCTGAATGGATATATCCCCTCCGAAGAACAGCAGGCAGTACGGAGACACCTCTGTACAATCATACAGGTAAATCTGCACGACAGCAAAGCTGGCTGATCACCCTCAAAACATCCTAAGGGCCATCAGGAACTCTTAATCAGACTCCTACACAATTCCAGAAGATCATGGTTCAGCCAATCCCAAATTTGCAAGATGTATGAAGCAACTCAGTTCAAAAAAATTTACACAAAATCAGACTGAACAGGAGCAAAAATGGTCCCAAATACAGCCCTTCACATAGTGGTGAAATCAAACCACCTGCTCCATAACAACTGGGGGGGAGGAGAATCTTTCAGCACATTGATAAGTGTTAGACTGGATTGAAATGAAAAAAATAAATTCAAATAAAATTTACACATGTTATTGCCAGAACTTTAACAAAAATCCAAGTCCTCCAAAAAAACCCCAACTACTAAAACCTAGAAGTTAGTTACTTGTGGCACAATACCCCATATCACAAAGAACATAATCTGATGGGCTGTAAAGGAAATGGCCCAGGACAGGAAGGCTCCAGAACAAAGGCTGTTCACATCCCCTCTGAACCCTGATCCAATTTCCTTTAAAAAGATACAAAACCAACCCACGCAAACATAATCCCTCACTTACACTGCTGGTCCTCATCTTCAGATGGTACACGAGCCAGTTATAATGGAACTCAGTTTCCTCCACATTAACGGATTTGGGATGAATATTAACTG